TGGGGATCACTGCTCTACTGCATTTAAAAGTCCCTTCAGGCTATAAAGCTGAAACAATTGCATTCTTAGCATTTCTGCAACCGTGTCTTAATAGCTGCAAACAAGGCTGCAGATTTTTACAGTGGCCAGAGTAGAGAAGGAATATACAGATGGTCCTTGACTTATGGCCAGTCACTTAGCGATCTGTTCAAAGATTCAATGGGCCTCTCCAGGGCTACTTATGACTCAGATTCAAAGTTCTGACAGCCAGCTCTTCCCCATAGTCATGTGATTGCATTTTTCAGTGCTCAGCAATTGGCTCCCATTTATGTCCGCTTGCAATGTCCAGTAGTACATGACCACATTTTACTACAGATTTTACCAGAAACCAGTGTTTACTTCTGATTTCCAGAAAAGACCATCCATTGCAGAGAACAGACCTGCTTAAAAGCTGCCACAAAAAAGTCATAAAATTGATGCGGTCACATGATGACCCACTTTCATTCTGGCATAACTTAAACCGCAATTCCAGGATCAATAACAGTTGTAAATCGAGGGCTACTTGTATATTCTTTGAAATGCCAATATAGGTAGTCCTCGGGGTATGACCACAATTGGGTTTAAAATGTATATTGTTAAGTGAAACATTTATTAAGTGAGTTTTGTTCCATTTTAAGACTTTTCTTGACACATTTGTTAAGTGAATCGCTGCAGTTGGTAAATTAGTAATACTGTTGTTAAGTGAATCTGGGTTCCCCACTGACTTTGCTATACTCCTTGCAGACAGCTGGTCATTTGCACTTTTTTAAGCAAGCCATTGAGGCCACTTGGAGGTTTATCTCTGTCCTCAGGGTCACCTGAGAAGTTTTTTTCTATCTCCTTTTTTCTTGTAATTTGTCTTTTACTCTATGATTTTTTTTATTTTTTTAAAAAAAGGAAAGATTAATAGTATCGATCAATCATTAACAGTGTGGGGAGGGGCTCAGGACTAACATCACAAGTTCTGTGATTTGCCAGAAAGTTAAGATTAGTGAAATGTAATTTGCGATATCCTTGAGGATGCCTTCTTAATGGACCCAACTACAATTCTTAAAATTCTTTCTGGGCAGTTCGGATAAGGATATAATTGTGTCTACCTGAGCCCACAGAGTCTTGTTGATGCAGATGGGCATAGCTCCAAGGCGGAGAGCATCTGAAAAACTGGGTGTCTCGTTCTCTAGCATCAGGCGTGGCAAGGTCTGTTTAACATCAACTTGGAGGCTGAAGTTGATTTTGGCTCGCAAAGAACCTTGTTAAAAAAAGAGCGAAGGGGAAAACAGAAGGGAAAAAAAACCCTGAATCAAATGAGCATTGACTGAGAGAATAAGTTAACGAATGAGTTAGCATCCAGAGAAAAAATTTAAAATAACATGGGAACATATTGCTATTTATAATTGTCTTACAGCAGTGTTTTTCAAACTTGGCACTTTCAGTTCCCAGAATTCCCCAGTCAACATCAATTCCCAGAATTCCCCAGCCACCATGTCCACATGTCTTAAAGTTGACAAATTTGAAAAACACTGCTTTTATATAGCAGTGTTTGGTACTCGACTGCTTTGAAACTCATCAAAGTTGGTACTCAACACATTTTGACGTGAAAATTTTGTCCTGGTGCTCATTGTTTGTTTGATACCCAACACACAAGCTAGAACTTGCCAGTGTCAGCTTTTTGTTATTTGTGACTCACTACATTGTTCTTTTAAGGAAAATTTAGTGTTCATCATTTAGGGTACTCATTGCACCTCTCAGAATCAATTAACAATAAGTACTGAGGTACCACTATATATTCTCGCAAGACATCAAGGATGCTTACAATTTTAAAAACCCAAAATATTAAAAGTTTAAAAATTCAGATTGAGTTAACAATAAAATAATAAGATAACCTTTATTCTCATTTTTTACTTTGAGCACACTGCCCCACATTAAAAATGAACCCTGATCTCAAAAGAAAGTATATATTTACTCATACACATACATAACACACATACTCACATTATACACACACACACACACAAAACATACATATAAATATTAATCACTGTTCATTTTGAATACATATAATATATAATATTGAAATTGTATCTTTTCAGATTTTCTAGAACTCAATCGAACAAGGATTAAACATAGTTCTTATGGAAAGATATTGCATAGGAAAGACAGCTTTGAAATACAACACAGGACTTGCTCCCACATACCAGGAAGATGGGCTTCGGACCAGGGGGAATTTTCAAATGGGCCTCTCCCATTAACTAGATCAGTACAAAATAAGATAAGCAGTCCCTTAAATAGCCAGGCCCTAACCATGAAGGACTTTAAGTACTAATGCCAATACCTTATATTATTATATTATATTATATTATATTATATTATATTATATTA